ACGAGAGGGCGTCGCACTGCAATGCATTGCAGCAGGCAGCAAGCAGCGAGCAGCTGCGACACCTCTGCACTGTCAGCACGGACCGGTCGACAATAGGCTGTTCCGACCTGAATTGGGAATTCTTGGTGCAAGTTCGAGCACAAGCTCAAACCAAAGTGTCGAAGTCACTTGCCTCGTTCAAAGCAAAAACGACCTGGATCTGATCATTCCGCGCTGTCGGATCCTGGCAAGGACGATCTCTCTAGCAACCTCTCGCAGTATCAACAGCTCCATGGCCTGGATCTCAAGAAGTGTGAAGCTTGGAGCCGCTTCGTCCAGAGTGCGTGGCACAAAGAGCAAGTCTGCGCCTGGCAAGCAGAATCACTGCGATAAGACTCAGCATCAATCCTGCACGAGCCAAATGAAAGGCAACTGACCATCACGCACAATCCCCCCCCCCCCCCCCGGCTCTCTCTCTTTCGCTCTTTCTCAAGCGCTTGATGGCATGCACTAGTTGTGCTGCTGCAGTCAGTAAACTCGCCAGCTGCACTGTCACTGAAATTTAAGACATCGTCCAAAGAAACCTTGTTCGGTATGGCCGTGCTGCCTGTGTAGGACTGCGAACGTATCGTGGCACCCATGGCATCCGCTGGCCAATCATCTTCAGCAAAGCAGTATATGTGATAGTTCGTCTCGGGCATGAGAGGATCGGCTCCTGAATCTGTGCGGATGATTTTGTTGATCTCGATCTGAATGGAGACTCCGGCCTGGTAGGCTCAAGGCATTTCGGGATGTGAAGGGACCATAACGACACGGCCAGCCCCGCCTCATGGACTTCCTCTCGGAAACTCACATTTGAATCACCCTGCCGGTGCTCTACGGCTTAAGGACACATCACGCACTGTGCCACAGTGCAGAGAGACCAAAGTCAGGCCTTTACGAAGCTCTCGTACTCACAGGGCCCTGGATCCGCTGAGAAGCTGCCACTTGGAGATGACCCAGGGATGCAATAGGCGGGATCCGTTCCCGTCTGCACTGCGGCACCTTAGAGTTGCACTGCCGACATCTTGCCTCCCCAGCCAAATAAAATTTGACAGTCTATCCCTCAATCAAGCTCAGGGACACCAAACCGTGCCTGGCTCGTCCAGCTGCAGCGTCACTTGCAAGGTCTCTTGGGAGATGCCTTCTGCTCTGACGAAAACCATTCTGGGCGGCGTGGTGTCCCGCACCCAGACGCCTTTTCATGCCGGCACATCCCATGCGTGCTTGGATGTGTTTGGGGGCACAACAGCGATGTCATCATATAAGCTTCTGTACAATTTCGATTACTAGTCTTCCCCAAATACAAGGTGCGCGAATTGATTTGAGTTTTTGTTGTGGTTTTTGAAATGTTGCATGTTCTGTTTCCCAGAGCAGCTCCACCTGTGGCCAGCTGCACAGTCTCCTTTGTTCCCACGGTCCCAAGCTGGCCGTGCTCGTCATAGGTCATGCTTCCCATATCGGATACGTACCCCCCCTTTGCCAGAGCTTGCTGTACTGACTGCTGCTGTGGTTGTGGTTGTGACTGTCCTTCGCGTTGTGCTGGTGGTCGTAGTACTAGCAGTAGTAGTAGTAGTAGTAGTAGTAGTAGCAGTAATAGTAGTGTGGAAATAAAAATAATTAGTAGTAGTAGTAGTAGCAGCAGCAGCAGCAGCAGCAGTAGTACCAGCAGTAGTAGTAGCAGCAGTAGTACTAGTAGCAGCGCCAGCAGCAGGAGCAGCAGAAGTGGCAGGAGCAGGAGCAGGAGCAATAGTAGCAGCAGCAGCAGTAGCAGTAGCAGTAGAAGTAGAAGTAGCAGCACTGATAGAAGTAGGAGTAGTAGGAAGTAGAAGTAGTAGTAGTAGTAGTAGTAGTCGGAGTAGTAGTAGTAGTAGTAGTAGTAGCAGCAGCAGCAGCAGTAGTACAGTGTGCCGGGAAACTGGAACCGTCAAGCCCGGCAAAATGACGGTTGATGCGTGATTTTGGTCATCTTGCTCGGGGAGCAAAATGATGCGTGATTTTGGTCATCTTGGTCACATGTTGTTAGGGGTCGGAAAGGCAATCTTGGCCATCTTGCTGGCCGCCAGCCCATAACACTTGAACCACATGCACCACTTGCACTGCTCGCCCCACGGATATCACTTGCACCGCTACCAAAATTACCAAGATGATCCCCCACAAAAAAATGTGTTCCCGCCAAGCAAGATTACATGCTCGCGCCTGGCGCGCATCTAGACCCTACCCTGAACCGTCATCCCTATACCCTGCAACCCTACAACCCTTAAACCCAAACCCCTAAACCCTACTCTGAACCCTAATCCCTGAACCCAAACCCCTCAACCCCTAAAACGTTCCCTAAACTCTAAACTTAAACCCGAAACCCTAAACCCTAAAACCCAAAGCCCCTCAAGCCTAAATCCCTAAAACCGCAAAACTCAAAGCTCTGAACCCTAAAAATTATACCCAAAGCCCAAACCCCCAAATAAACCCCAATCCCTAAACCCATTAAACCCAAACCCCTAAGCCCCTAAACCCCGCAAACCCTGAACCGATGTGCGGCCGCCGGGGCGCACGCAACCCTACACGCTAATCCCTAATTAGAATCCTAAACCCATAATCCCTACAATCCTACAACCCTAGGCCCTGAACCCAAAACCCAAACGTTAGCGGATCCCGATGCCCGGCAGAACGTAATAGTGGCAGGAAGTAGTAGTAGCAGTAGTAGTAGTAGTAGTAGTAGTATAGTAGTAGTAGCAGCAGCAGCAGTAGCAGTAGTAGTAGCAGTGGCAGTAGTACTAGCAGTAGTAGTAGTAGTAGTAGTAGTAGTAGTAGTAGTAGTAGTAGAGTAGTAGTAGTAGTAGTCGTCGTCGTCGTCGTCGTAGTAGTCGTAGTAGTAGCAGCAGCAGCAGCAGCGGTAGCGGTAGCAGTAGTAGTAGCAGTGGCAGCAGTACTAGCAGTAGTAGTAGTAGTAGTAGTAGTACGCGCAAAATGGTCGGTTTGCCCGCACAACTGCTCTGCGGAGCCGGGCGGGGTCTGTTTTAGCTGGCAGGCGCGTACTATTCGGCACATGGCCGCGGGACGGCCAGGGAGGCCCGAAAATGACAACTGTCTCGAGGATTCTGCGTTTGAGCTCTTTTGCATTTTGGCTTCTTCTTGCGCAGCGCGAGCAATTCGCCCCTGAAAAGGACAACTGTCTCGAGGATTCTGTGCGCGCGCTGATGTGCATTGTTGCATGTTGTGGCCGCGCCCCTAGTGTGAGCAAGGTGCACCTACTCTGATGATGATGATGACGACGATGATGATGATTTTCGGGATTTGGGTGTTCCTTTCGCGGTGCGTGGGTGCGAAACCCTGAACCCTAAAACGAATGGGTGGCTGCCAAACCCTCAACCCTAAAAGGAGTGAGTGTGTGCGAAACCCTGATTTAAACCCTAAATGCGAAACCCTGAACCCTAAAAGGAGTGGGTGGGTGCGAAGTCCTGAACCCTAAAAGGAACGGGTGGGTGCGAAACTCTGAACCCTAAAAAGAGTGGGCGGGTGCGAAACCCTCAACCCTAAAAGGGGTGCGTGGGTGCGAAACCCTAAACCCTAAAAGGGGTGCGTGGGTGCGAAACCCTAAACCCTAAATGCGAAACCCTGAACCCTA